CTGATTATGACGCGTGGCAGTGAAAGCCGCAAGGAAGCTGTCTCGCCGATGCCGCCTTATCTTTGCACGATAGCCAGCTGTTTGTGACGGTTTGTTGTCTACACAAGGTGTAGGCGCCTTGACTCGGAATGTTTGCTTAGGGCATTAAGGTTTTCAGGTAAGTCCCCCTTCTCTCCCTCTTCTCATTCTTTATTTCATAGGTCCTCATGGTTGTATGGCAGTGAAGCATCAGTTCAAATGGCTGATGTACTGCTGTTGATGATGATGATGCAGCCTGGTCAACAGGCAGCACTTGACCGAACATTGGAGACCCTCTCGATCGATATCTGCTGCTTATCAGAGACCCGCCTGCACGACTCGAGCTCTGTACTCACTGCGATCCCCTTCAGGTGACGCAAGCAGTATTTTCTCATTACGCCTATCTGGTGACGATGCAGCTTCGAGCACCGGCCAAGTTGGTGTTGGTATTGCCCTGAGTCCCGGGGCTGAAGCTGCTCTGGTTTATTGGATTCCAATCAGTAGCCGGATGTGTGCGGTCTGATTGGCTGGCTCGTTCAAAGCTTCGAAGTCGCGCGGAACTAATAGGTGTCTGTTCATTATCGTTGCTTACGCACCCACAAACTGTAGCGATGATTCGGTAAAGAACGACTTCTACCGCCAACTGACCCAACTCCTTCGCCACAGAAGAAACACGGACACTGTTGTGCTGGCGGGGGATCTGAATGCCCAAGTTGGAAAGTTGTCCATTGATGAAATACATCTGGGTGGTCAGCACGGTGTAGGCTACCGTACTGATATCGGTGTGCAGTTATTTCATTTGTGTGAAAATGCCCTCTTATTTCTTTCGAGCACTAACTTCCAACACAGCACCCGCCGGAGGGTGACTTGGCGCCCACCAGCATCGAACTAGCCTTGGACGCAGATCGATCACATTGCAATCAGTTACCGCTGGAAAGACTGCATCCAGAACTGTCGCTCGATTTGGACACCGATCGTACACTTGTATGTGCTGACATTCGGATGCGTTTTGGCGGACGCCCAGGACGATGCTGTGAGCGCATTGACATCAGCCAAGTGACAAAGCCAGGTGTTCTGAATGTGTATCGAAGTACGCTGACATGCGAGTTGAGTAAACGCTCACTGGAGACAATTGATAGTCACTGGTCACATGTTCACCAGACCTTACTAGCAGCAGGCAAATCCTCATGTGGTATGTCTAATGGCCACCATGGATATTGGGTCTCTTCGCGGTCTCTGGAACTTATCGATGCTCGCCGGCATATTCCGGCTGGAAGCGAACACAATGAAACTCGCAAAGAGCTCCGGGCAAAACTCCGTGCTAGCCTGAAGAGAGACCGCGAATCCTGGTGGTCTCATCGTGCAACAGAGATGGAAATGGCCGCTGCCCATGGTAAACATCGTGAGTTATTCCGTCTTATACGGGAAACGGGCAGCAGGAGACCTGGTGTTAGTGAAACTATGCGTGACGAGAGTGGACAGCCTATCCACAATTTATCAAAACGCCTGGAACGTTGGGCTGAGCACTTTGAAAGGCAATTTAATCGGTCGGAATTGTTAGATTTCTCGTCGACCAGTGATCGCCCTGCTCCGTGGGCTGTTCCTTTGGATCCACCCTCTCGCTCAGAAGTCGAACGTGAGATCGGACTGTTGAAGTTGAACAAAGCCGCGGAACCAGGTGATCTTCCTCCAGCCCTCTTCAAATTCGGCGACTACTCTTGTTGATGCTTTACATGAATTACTAGTGAAACTATGAGAGCATGAGACTGTCCCAACCGACTGGAGCCGCTCCGTTATTGTTCCCATCTTCAAAGGAGGTTCGCGTTCGGAATGCGGCAGCCATAGAGGAATCAGTCTGATCTCTATCGCCTCCAAATTGCTTGCCTCTGTCATCTTTCACAGACTGACTGGCACTCGTGAAAGCCAGATTCGTGAAGAGCAAGCTGGATTTCGTCGAGGTCGTGGCTGCATTGACCACATCTTCACCTTGCGTCAGTTGTTGGAGCACCGCCACATATATTGGCTGCCCACCGTTGTCGTGTTCCTCGATATCAAAGGTGCATTCGATTCGGTGGATAGACTTGCACTTTGGGACTGTCTACTCAGGAAAGGTGTGCCCGAGAAATATGTAAATATTATCCAAGCATTATATGCGCTTAGCTCGGACAGAGTGAGGGCTTACGGCAAGCTGTCGCCACCCTTCAATATCTCCAGCGGTGTGAGGCAAAGATGCCCACTGTCACCTTTCCTCTTCAACTTCGCTATTGACGAAGCCATGGAGATTGCATTTACAGGACATGACTTGGAAGGTGTGGAGCTACTCCCAGAACAACCACTTCTTGACTTAAAGTATGCAGACGACTTTGCCCTCATCTGTGACAGCTCCCAGACGTGCCAAGTCGCGCTAGACAGATTAGCATTAGCTGTCAGCCCCTTCGAGCTTTGCTTTGCACCACTGAAATGCAAAGCGTTCCTTCACGATTGGCAGGGATGGCCTCCTGCGCTGACCGTTGGTGGGGATCAGCTAGAAATCGTTCGGAAATTCAACTACCTGGGAAGTTGTATCAGCGCCCTGGGATTGAAGATGAGATCACGAACCGTATAGCGAAAGCTCGAAGTGCTTTTGCTAACCTTCGCCACCTATGGTGGCGGCGCGACATCACTCTTACCCTGAAGGGTAGAGTGTACAATGCAGCGTTACGTTCGATTCTACTATACGGTTGCGAAACCTAGCCCCTAAGATCGGCGGACATAAAGAGTCTAGTTACGTTCGACTATCGGTGCCTTCGCAGTTTGGCTCACATCTGGTGGGAACACCGCGTGAGTAACGAGCGTGTTCGACGCCTTGTTTACGGCACAGGAAAAGGAAATGAACCGCTCAGCACCGTTATTTCACGCACCAGGCTCCGATGGCTAGGCCACGTGTTGCGCATGCCAGCACACTGACTCCCGCGACGTGTGCTGTTTGCGCGCCGGGGAGGTGGATGGAAGAAGAGAAGGGGTGGCCAAGCGATGACTTGGTCCAGAGGAATGAAGGCCCTCGCTTCAGAACTGGCCTCGGTTGGAGCGTCTCGGCTCCCTGGTTGGGGTCCAAAAGACGGTGAACACGTTTGGCTGGATACACTTGCTAACATGGCAAGGAGCCACCTCAGTGGCGTTCGCGCTGTGAGTTTCGTTGTCCCACCCCATCCCTTTTAGCCTCCCCCTTCACCTACGATCTCATTTCGTTGCATAAAACACATTATTTTTTCCTTTTGCCTAGTAGTCGGGTGGTAGCTTACCGAAACGATGCTTATCCGTTGCTGGTAGCTCAGCTGGCATGCAACTGTTGTATTTATTTTCCTTTATGTATTGCGGCACAGTAGCTGAGGTGTTTCCCACCTCTAGCTGACGTGTATAGTGGTATAATGATATTGTTATTTTTATATATTCTGTAATAATTAGTGTTTCTTTTTTCGTATCTTTTTGTGTTGCGGCACGGTAGCTGTTTCTCACTACCTAACGTGTAATATTGGTGGTGATGGCCCCGACAATCACATTTCGATTGCTAGACCAACCTTGCCATAAAAGCCAAGGTGTGCCGACTCTGAGGGGTTTTGACTAATGCCTGTAAAAGCGCTTGCGCTTAATATCACTGTCTTTTTCCTTTTGTGATCGCTAGTATTGGTGCGGGATTCCTGTTTGTCTCGGTACAACGACGTATAAACCGTTGGGTGGTAAATTTTCACGGCGTGTAAATCACAATTCGATCAGTTACTTTTCCACGCGAGGCAAAGTCCATCAGAGCTGCATCTTTTGCTCCGAGTGTGTTGAACCAATGTCCTTCACCTGAAAACATCGATTTTGGAGCAACAATTGTTCAGTCATTTCGAAGAATTTAAAATTGTTCTGGTCTTGTATGTCTAGACTGCGACCTAAGTGATTAGTCAACTACACCCGCTGCTCCGCTGCCTTGCGGGCAGACTATTCAGCCAAAGGCTCGGGGTGGTGTCCCCTAAGTCAACACCCTACTTCGGCTTGGGCAACCGGGTAGTATCTCGCCCTTAGAGGAAACCATGGACATTGTTGTGTTGTGTTTTATTTTACTGTTTCTGTACCTTCGTTTGAATCCCATGGTTTCTGATGGCATTATGTCTGTTAGCAGACTTTTGCAAATATATATATATGTATATATATATATATCATCTTGGTACTATCCTTGACGTAAATTGACGTGAAACATTTGGATTTCTCTGCTGTGCTTTCTACCTGATCTTTCCCCTAATGCTTACTCTAACTCTTAGGCAGCTCACCTTCACGATCCGTGTTTGTGCCCCAATACCCTTGAAGATTCGCTCTGGTTTTTACTTGTCTAGCGAGATCGTCATCCTCGCTCAGTTTTGCGATGTGTATTGCCTGTATGTGATCCCCAACTACGATGCGGATCCAATGGTTTCTAGACCCATTTACTAGCCTGTGCACATGACAATACCCTTACAGCCTCCTTGGCTTTGTCTCTCTAATTTCTTATATTGTTACTCACCCACACAGGCGGATGGCTGGTCGTCCCATTTGTGCGTGTTTTCGGTCACTCCCAAAGTCAAAAGAAAGAAAAGTCATGGACCAAAAGACTCACATATGTGGTTGTATGATATTATGCATCATTGACATCACCGGTCCTTATCTGGAGGTCTTCGCATTTTAATACAATTGTAATTTTAGTCAGCGCGAAAGAGTGCTTTGATTGACCGTTTTTATACCTCTGGTTGTCCCAGTGAGGTACATTTGGAACGAATGCCGGACACTCAAAAACATTTCGGTGTAGCCTTACGATTACAGTATTGCGTAATCACTATTTTTGCATCGATTTCTGCTTAGTGTAGATGATTGCAACCAGTAAAAATGCATTCACAGTATATATTTAGGTTGCACTGGAAAAAGTTTTCCGAGTGACAAAAATTTGCCTTAGATGTGTCTCACCGCGACGGTCAGCGGTACAAAAAATGATCATTTTGGGCGCTTCAACGGTCACTCCAGCGGACAATTTTCGATCACTTGTGTTATGCGGGTTTGCCACATTCATTCATATTGCAATCTCTTCGTTGTTTTTATTTTGTTGTATGTGTTGATGCGTGGTGTCTCATTGTCTTTTGCAGGCTGTCGTGTTTCTGAACTACTTTCCATGGTTATCTCCAGTAATAAAAGTTTGGAGGGTTGTAGATTGTCCGTACGTCTGCCTGATTCGGATCATTATCGTAAGTGGCTTAGTGCGAATTGTGTTATGTGTTCTCACAGACTCTGCGGAGATCTTAGGTACACGGGAAGCGGATTCCGTAACTTATTATTACGTTCATTATGATGACTGTAAGTTTGTCCTTTGGTCTACTGACAATCTCCTCCAGACAACAAACGACTCGATGAATGGGTGACGGCCGACAGGTTGAACTTTGATAAATTAGAATGGCCGACAAAAAGGTCAACTCGCGATCATAGCTGCCCTGTCTTCCCTTTGACCTCCTCAACCGATTTCCAATCGTTAGAATCACGTGGTTCCACTCCCGACGTTGAACCCGTACGTTTTGTGCAATTGTGCTTTATACGCTTGTTTAGAACGCTCCGCTAAAATCTCGCACCCCGAGTTCATCTAGTTTAAACCAGATCAAACGAAAGAAAATTTCTGATGACACTTGCGAAGGCCCCATCCACCTGTCCATTTCCAGCGATCCTCCTGATGGTGGTACTCCATTCTCTCTCGTTGGCCCGACAAATAATGGCAAACCCCGACAGACCGGCAGCATGGTATCCAGCCATCACGAACAGGACACTGTCACACGAATACGTAATCTGGAATGGATTGAGTTGGGGCGGTACCGCATGAAGCCATGGTACTTTTCACCATATCCCCAGGAACTCGTCTCAGTACCATGTGTATACATATGCGAATTTTGCTTGAAGTATCTGAAAAGCCCCACTTGTCTCAGAAGACATTTGGTACTGTGATATACTCTCCCTGATGAGACGCTTCTTTTGTAGACCAAATGCACTTTGCGCCATCCTCCTGGAAACGAGATCTACCGAAAACCACCACACAGTTTTTTCGAAATAGATGGTCGCAAAAACAAGGTATCACACAATCTGTGTGTTTCATTGTTGTTCCCTTCCAGGTTTATGCACAACACTTGTGTCTGTTGGCCAAATTGTTTCTCGATCACAAAACTCTCTACTACGATACGGATCCATTCTTATTCTATGTACTCTGCGAGATTGACTCCCAAGGGTTTCATCTGGTTGGATACTTTTCCAAGGAGAAAGAATCCTCGGAGGACTATAATGTGGCATGCATTCTCGTTTTACCGCCTTATCAATGCAAGGGATATGGCAAATTTTTAATCGAATTCAGTACGTAGGAACAATTTCTAGTCTTCGTTTGCATTCACAGACTTTGGCTCATGTTGTTACTTAATTGGTCCGCAAATAACTTATTAAATTGTATTTTATATTTTGATGTATTTCCTTCGATGTTAAACGGAAGTCTCTATCCCACTCAACTCATCTGTTGTAGTAGCATTCGGCTTATTCAGTTTCTTCATCGGTGTCCGATTAACACTGAAATGACGTCCGACATCTTCGGGTGTTACACTATGGTCCCAGTAGCTAACTTTTCAATTAGCGCTTCATTCGGAAAAAATGACCTGGCGCCAGTAAATTGGATAAGATTTTATTGGTATCACGGACGCAATACTCGCCTCTTTGTTCCACTAAGTGTGCAATCTTAGTTTCGATCCAAATGCATTTGTTACCCAGAGACAGTCCTCAGGCTCCTAGTGTCACTCTTGACTCTGCTAACTGAATTTCCAGAGACGGTGCAGTTATCGGATTCGATTCTCGTAACCTCTCACTTGATCTCTGTTGTGTGTTGGTAGGACCGACTGTCTCAAATCTTCATCACCCACGAAGCAAAACGGCGTTTGCTTGATTTTTCACTCCATGTTAACTTTTAGGCTCGCGTACATTATGGTAGGTGCATCTCTGAATCTGGCTGTTCTTGTGACCAGCTGGCCACCGGTTAGCAATTTACCACATGATGTACCGATTAGACTGCGTCGTTCGGAGCCGATTTCATTCCTCTTCTCATCGGGTAAATCCTGGCGCTGAGAATCGAGCAACCGTTAACCTCGGTTTACTTCACCATCGTCATCATCATCATAAATACATGTTAGCTGATGGTGAAAATCACAACTTAGATAATGTGCCGTAAAACAAAAGCTATCAAACATTACAGAATGCCCATCTCTGATTCGTACTGCGTGACTGGTGTTCCACATGGGTCCGTCCATCTTCTGCGTCGATACTCCGGAGGAGGAGAGGTTGGTGGAGCAGTGCGCTCATCTTGCTGTGTGGCCGCGGTCGTAGACATTGAACCCGTCCAGGAGCATGTGAAGAGGTATGGTCAAAGCATCTACTTCCGTATCGAATGAGTTGCACTTTCTGATTTGATTGATGAGGCGCATCCAACTGTTCTCGCCTGCAGCCACTTCACAGCAGACGAGCATATCTTTTGGTGACCAATTCATGTGTCCAAGAGATTTTGTCTTTCCGACAGTCCTTTACCAACACTATTTATCCAACATCAAAGTGCTGCGGTACAGCATGATCCCCTAGGTTGTAGATGCTCCATTATCGTATACTTTTCAAACTTTTTTCTGTCAGTCGGTTTTGTCAGATCAGATTTCATTCGAGGCTTCCCGAGTAGGCTCGATTCTGTTGTGGATTTTTTGACAAGCGTCTGTGGACTAGATGTAATCCTGTATGTCTGCAGAAAATACCGTAGCACTTTTGAATTGGTCCGTCTCCTTCAACTTTGAGTAGAGCTCTCTTGAAAGTGTTTACAACTCTCTTAGCCTGCCCATTGTACTGTGGACGATAAGGAGGTGAGCTCACATGTTCCATGCTATGTAATGCGCAAAATTCAGCAAAGTATGAAGAAGGGAACGAAGGTCCATTGTCGGATACTAGTGTTTCCGGAAAACCGAACCGACTGAATACATTCCGGAGAGTTGTGATCGTAGCCGATGTTGAAGTGTGCAACATTTGAAAAATCTCGGACCATTTGCTGTATGCATCGACAATAAGTAGGAATTTCTGTCCTTTGGTTGATCCTTCAAAATCAAGCTGAACTCTTGATCATGATTCCGGGGATGTCAGCCAGGAGAACAGTTCGCATTTCCGCGTTGACTTCGAAACTAAGGCACACTTTGAAAATCAAGCTCTAACCGCTGTGTCAAGCACCGCTCGCGTAGCTCAATGCCTTAGTGATCATGGACATCGCCGCCAAGCACTATGCGCCGAGTTCCACTCCCAGCTCGGTTATCTCTACCTGATGAGTCCAAGCCTGGACGTAACCGTCGGTTGTGGAGTGCAGAGTTGGGCGAGCCACACCGAAGCCTTCCACTTCTCGCTAGAGCCTTCATTCTGTTGGATCCGGGATGTCCAGCATGAAGGTGCTTTGGGATTTTTGGTTGGAGTTCGGCCGTGATGATGACGCATTCGCGAAACACAATGCAGTTTTGTACAATGGATAATGCAGTTCACCTCGGGAAAATCTGTTGTAGCTACGAGTCCGAAATGTTTCGTGGCCATTGCGAGTAGTGAAACTTGCTCACTTGTGTCAGCAATGGGCCGCGTAAGGTGGCGTCTCGAATTAGATTGGAAGATATTGGGAGCTGGTTTACAACATCAGAAACACCCGCGATTGACTTCCGTTTTGGTGGAGATATTTTTCACAGCAGTGGCTGGTGCTGTTCCTCCAACAGTAGTGACAGCGCATCGACCTGACAGATGTCGCTTATCGATCATTCATTCATTCATTCATTATACACCTTAGCTAGAGATGGAAAACATAGCTATTGTGTCGCAATACATCAGGAAAGTGGAAAACGTCTGCAACTGAGGCACGCCAGCTGAGCCGCCAGGAACAGATGGGCATCGTTCCGGAGAGCTACCAGCCGGTATCGTGCCACGAAAAATTATACTATGCAAAATTTATCATATGTTCGGAAATGAGATTGTGGTAGGAGGGGGAAGCTTGGCGGGAAGGGGAGGGACAAAGAAACACAGCACAAACGCCACTGGGGTCGGCTCCTAGTCATTTCAGCAAGTGTATCCAGCCAGCTGTGTTCATCGTTTTTCGGACCCCAACCTGGGAACCGAGAAGCTCCAATCGAGGTCATCTTCGAACTAAGGTCCTTCATTCTTCCTGACCAAGTCATGGCTTGGCCACCTCTCCTCTTCCATCCACACCCCTGGCGCGCAAAAAACACACATCGCGGGAGTCGGTGTGATGGCATGCGCAACACGTGGATCAGCCATCGGAGCCTGGTGCGTGAAATACTAGTGCCGAGTGGTTCATTTCCTGTGCAATAAACAAGGCATCGAACACGCTCATTATTCACGCGGTGTTCCCACTAGATATGAGCAAAATTGCAACGGCGCCAGTGGTCGAACGTAACTAGCCTCCTTATGTCGGCTGATTAAATGGACCAGGTTTCGCAACCATACAGCAGGGTCGAACGTTCGGCTGCATTGTACACTCTACCATTCACGGAGAGTGATGTTGCGCCGGTGGCGATGGTGAGCAAAAGCGCCTTGTGCTTTTGCTATACCTTTTGTTACCTAATCGATTCCACAGACGCTCAAAAAACTGCCTAGGTATTTGAATTTGTGAATGACTTCTCGTAGTTTCTCACTAAGGGTCAGCGCAGGAGGTGATCCCTGCTAACCTTGGAGGAAAGTCTTTCACTTTGAAGGTGCAAAGGTAAGCCCGAAACGACTGACAGCTAGCGCTAATCTGTCCAATGCAGCTTGGCACGTTTGTGAGCTGCCACAGATTAGGGCAGTATCGTCAGTATACTCCAAGTCAAGAAGTCGTTCGCCTGGGAGCAGCTCTACACCTGCTAATTAATGTCCTGTGAACGCAGTCTCCACGACTTCGTCAATAGCGAAGTTGAAGAGGAAAGGTGACAGTGAACATCCTTGTCTTACACGACTAGAGACATAGAAGGACGAATACAGCTTACCATAAGTCCCCACTCCGCCCGAGCTATGCGCGTTATGCATTCTGACAATGTTTACATATTTCTCAGGCACACCTTTCCTAAGTAGATTGTCCCAAAGGGCTCATCGATCAACCGAACAGAAAGCACCTTTGGTGTCGTACAACACTACTGTGGGCCGCCAATATATGTGACGGTGCTCCAACAACTGATGTAAAGTGATGATGTGATCGATGCAGCCCCGACCTCGACGAAACACGGCTTCCACCTCACAAATCTAACTTTCACGGGCGTCCTTCAGTCTGTGAAGGATGAAAGAGGCAAGCAAATTCGAGGCGATGGAGATCAGACTGACTTCTCCATGGTTACCGCGTTTCGAACGTGAGCCTCCTTTGAAACTAGGGACAACGGAGCAGCTCCAGCGGTTGGGACAGTTTTCTGCTCCCACGGTTTCACTAGTAACTCGTGTAAATCGTCAATAAGAGCAGGACCCCGGAATTTGAAGAGGGGTGGATGAAGATCATGTGGCCCCCCGGCTTTGCTCGGCTACAGCAGTTTGATCTCCTATTCGACTTCTGAGCAAGAGGGCGGATCCGAAGGGACACCCCATGGAGCAGGGCGATCACTGGCCGGAGAGGAATCTGACCATTCCGGTGGATTAAATTGCCATTCAAAGTGCTCAGCCCAACGTTTCAAGCAAGTTGACAAGTTGTGAATTGGCTTTCTACTCTCGCCACGTTTAATTGTACTACCACCAGGTCTCCCGCTGCCCTTTTCCCGTATCAGAGTGAATAACTTCCGATGGTTACCATGGGTAACAGTCGCTTCCGTCTCCGAGGAATGTTGAACCATCAGGATTTGCGGTCTCTCTTCAGGCTAGTATGCAGTTTTTCCCTGAAGTCTGCAAGCTTTATTGTGTTCGTTTCCAGTCGGAATGTGCCGGCGAGCATTGATAAGTTCCAGAGACTGCGAAGGAACCTAATGTCCATGTTGGTTATTGGATTTACCGCATGAGGATTTAGCTGCTGCTAGTAGCGTCTGGTAAACACGCGAGCAGTGGCCTTAAACTGTTTTCATTGAGCGTTTGCTCAACCCGGATGCTTGCGTACTTCGATACGCATTCAGAATATCTGGCTTCACCAGTTGGCTAGTGTCAATGCGCTCACAGGGTCATCGAGGGCGTCCACAAAAACGCACCCACTGATCTTCACATACATATGCATGGTCAGAGTCTACGCTCGTGCTCCAAATCGACGGAAAGTCTTGGATGCAGCCTTCCTTGCCTTAACTACTCGCAGTGTGATCGATTTGCGCCCAAGGCTGGTCTATTGCTCTTGAGCGCCATGTGACTCTCCGTCGGGTGCTGTGTCAAAAGTCAATATTCGTAGGAAATAAACGAGCGTCTTCACACAAATGAAGTAATTGTTCACCGTTACCATTACAGAAGCCTACAGTATGTTGACCGCGCAGATGCAACTCCTCTGTGGACAGTTTTCCAACTTGACCGTTCAGATCCCCAGCCGGCACTTCAGTGTCCGTGCTTTTTCTGCGACGAAGAAGTTCGTTCAGTTAACGATAAAATTCGTCTTTCAGCGAGTCATCGCTACAGTTTGTGGGCACGTAGGCAACGTCGAACAGATACTTACTAGTCCCGCGTCACTTCGAGGCTTTGAACCACCCAGCCATTCGGACCGTACACATCCAGTTACCGCTTGGGATCCAATCAACCAGAGAAGCTTCAGCGCGGGGACTCAGGATAATACCAACAACGTCTTGGCTGGCACTCGCAGCTACATCGCCTCTGAATAGGCAATGAGAAAACACCGCTGATGTCACCTGAAGGGAATCGCAGAATGAACGCAGAGCTCGAGTCCTGTAGATGGGTTTCCGATAGACAGCAGATATTGATCGAGAGGGTCTCTAATGTTCGGACAAGTGATGTCTATTGATCGATCTGCAACAGTGTGCGTACGTTGAGACATGTGAATCCGAGGGATGCTCGTGCGCTCTGAATAGAAGCCGATGGACTGGGCTTAACCGCTTGGTTAGACATGGGCTTGTCGATAATAATGATAATAAATAAGTGTGTCAGCTGTACGCCGTAACGACGCTTCGCTGCCGCGTGACCACCACTAGTCGCACGCGGGCTGAGTATACCGCTAGGACGCCCACCCCTACGCGGATTCGAACCGGTGACCTTATGGTTGCAAAGCAAACGTGCAGACCACTCGGCCACCGGCCGACTGGGCTTGTCGATGGGGCAGGAGTGACGCTCCGCATTTGCGTGTGAGTCGAAACAAGAATATAAACGCCTATCGAAGCGTGGTGGGAAGGGCCAAGTAATGGGGGAATGGACGAAAGTGAAGTTGGAACGGGACAATAAGACTGAAAAGGCGTAAAAGTGGAATACGAACACGGGAAGGCTTAAGCAGTAGCATCCCAACTCCTATCCATCCTGCCCGATGCAGCAAATGGGCCGCCATTAATTATCCTCTGCGACGGCCACAGCATCAAGAAATGGTTTGAAGGTAGTCACTCTGTTGCATTACATGGGCAGGATACTGTCAGATCGCCAAGGCCTAGACAGGAGAATGATTAGGGTTCTCAACCAAAATCTTTGGTTCCAAAACCTGAACCCAAGGCAGTGGGGTCGTGGCACTGGGCTGCAGAGTCCGTTTTAAAGAATAAGGAGCCACTCACTTCAACTCCAAACCCGGAGGGCCAGGAGACTTTTTCAGGCCTCTAACCATTGACCAATCTGGTATGAGTGGCTGTGAACGTACAAAAGCACCAACCAGCGTAGCTCAGTAGATCGCCGAAGCACACAAACCATCGCACCATGGTAAGGTCCGGCCACATTGTGATGGGAGACCAAGTGGCAGTAAATGTTCATCGGTGAGTGTCGATATTTCTCTCCAAACCTTAAAGTCATCGGCGAATAGCGTGTAAGTTGATGTTAACCGTCATGGCGAATCATCGTTCTGAAACAGCAGCTGCACTGGGCCAAGTACTATGCCCTGTGGTATATCACTTGAAGCAGGAAACCATTGTGTTCGGTAGTTACTGACCTGGACGCACTACTGTTACTAGTGCAGAAATGAATGAATGCATTTCGATTCGTTCCAACCCACACCGCAATCGCTGAGTTTAGATAGTACGCGTTCATAGTATACTATTTCCTACGTTCGGTACGATTGGTGTGACGCTTCAGGACAACCTTATCTCCCACTTTCCATTTTTGCTCTACTTATCTTTGAATGACTCCATACTGCTTTCTGGTTTAGATGTTTCATTCAGCAACCGACAGACAACCTTGGAGTATATCGACGACACAGCTCAGTTTCGATCGGACCCTTATGCCTTGCAAATGCTAATGCATATGCTCAGGCTGAGTAATGTGCTATTTGACATAAAGTTTGCGTCATCTATGTTCGTGATGGTCATGCAGGGCTGGATGATGGTCCAGTGGTTCTCATTCTTATGGACCATTCAGTTCAGGTCATATCTTCGTCACTACTCAAAGTTATCGGAAGTACTACGGAACGCTACAACCACGCAACCATATTTCACACATGACCGTTACCCTTTCCTATCTTTAAAACCTATCTTCACTCCTTTATCGGACAGACTTCTGCCTCCTTTGTAATGCTTAGCATATGACTTTGTTGTTCATGGAACTTATAAATGCCTGATATGTAACCATTTGAAGGCTACGCCAGATTTCATGCAGGCATTGACCGAAGTCATTGAGCTTACTCAGTGCTCATATGACGGTCTATAAAGGCCACTCTTACTTCTACCTACCTATACCCGCCCATTACTCAAGCTGCCAGAACTCAGTCGAGGTACCGATACGTGAAGTCGCCAGTAGCTTTTTGGACTACCGCCTATACTTGCTTTTTCTTTTGATACCCTAATCTCGAAGCACTCCTATTGGTCCAGTTATTTTTGTGCCCTCCAGCCATGTTCAAATGTGGCCTAGGGTTTAATTACTTCACCTGTAACGCCATGGAGGTAGCTCTGTTGTAATGCGGAACATGTGTTCTTTCCCCCAACCGCCTGTGTTTCACTGGATGCAAGGTTATACTTCACATTTAAACTTTTAGTCATGCGGGTCTTCTCGTGGGTCCTAGCTAGTTTCTGTTCCACGCAATAGAGTCAGATGGCTGTACTCACGTTTGCGTCTTCTGCCTTGCGTTTCGCCGCTGGGCCTCCTACCCAACAAACAAAGTTCCTTCTATCTTTCGTCCAAACCTCATGTTCTTTTCTATCTTTTACCTCTTTGAGATGAGCATCTTTATGACTCCATTTACTTCCGTCTTGCTCTTGAAATACTGTGTTGAACTGGAGCAGCTGACTTCGATTTACGAAATTTCCCTCACCCTGTCCCAGAAAGTGTAAATTACCTACTACAGCAAAACCAGAGTTGACTACCTCTCTACGTTGACCACATTTTTATAGCTTCTACGGTCACTATGTGAACCCTACGGGATCAGGCCTCTATAAGTTGACCACTCCTGTAAATTGTATGTTGACCACTTGTGCTATGACAGTCAGTCAATCTTCGTAAGTTGACCATTTGTGAGCTTACCATCTAATGGTTTCCCAATGGCTCGTTTGTTCCGATAACACAGTGTGCAGCGAGACTGCAATGTGTGTACTTCTGACTCTCAAATCAGTGAACTTTACCTTTGAGGATACAGTATGTTATATATGTATATATATATATATATATATATATATATATATTTGAATGATCAAGTGATTAAAAATAATATTCAATAAAATTCAATAGATACTAGGTACTTAGCATTTTAATTAAAAAATTTTGTGTGGTAATTGTTTATAGTGAACCCTTTTCGTGGGTAAGTCTAAAAAGGGTTGAGTACCAGCGACCTAGATCAATGTTTGTCCCCCCTGATCCGCGCCCACGGAATGACCTAGAACGGTTTGTGTTCCTCACCTGATCACATACACAGGCAAGCCTTCGTCTACCCCAAAGAACTTGGGTTCACTCACCGCAAAAGCCGCAATCAGGTGTTTGAGTGACTGTCGAACCCTCGATAAACCAACAAGTCTAAACTCCAGTACATTAGCATCTTGGATTGTGGCGAGATTGTCTTTTAGGCCCACATTAATTGTCGAGCATTTATCCGGCTCTTTTTGGTGTCAGCCTGACGGTGAAACCAATTGAGGTTAATTTTTATATGTAATTATTGTTACGTAAGTGGAACCCTAGACCTTAGACTCGTGCTTTAAACGATTTAGGAACGGTCATTACGAGTAATTCAATATTATGGCCCAAAGAAAAGACCTCAGAGAGTTGACTTTGAAGGAAAAGATTAGTCTGCTATATTTTCTGAAAAGCAGTTACCAAAGCGACTGCATCATCATGATGATGATGAATGATGGTGTTCTGATGATCTGGAAATCGCAGCAACTCCAAAAGAAGCCTAAGTTAGACATCTTTTAATGCAACTGAACTCATTTACTGTGGCAACTTGTCCAAGCACGCTGGTTAGTATACTTATGCTTTGAGTGCTTTTTTCAGTTACCTTTGTGATAAAAGAAAGAAATAGACAAAGATCTACTATTTCTTCGAAAAATGGCTTAACTTGCCTAATGCACACTGCGCTTTTTATTTATTATAGTATTTTACTGTTGAATTACATTTGCCGTCACGTGAGATCTCGTCTAATGTGCTCGAAACGGATGTATTCGATAATAACTTTCCTAATATAATACTCACAATGGGAAAGTAGATGACGCTAAGTTTTGGCATAGAATCTCCGTATGTGGACCACTTTGATCCAGTCCCTTTGGTGGTCAACTTACGAAGGTTCTACGTTATTTCCACCTCTGTCAGTAAATCTGTTCCGCTGGTATCTCCCACCCTTCAGGTTATGAACTAAGCAAGTTGGAAGGCAAATCTGGATCTCCCGAGAAGCCTTTGAGCGATCTTGGATTGCTATCGTACCGATCCTATTGGGCACAGACCATATTGGAGTTGCTGCTCACTCACAGATCCACCGAACCCGGTCAAGAACCTGCGCTCAGCATCAAGTGCGTTGCTCATTTCTTAGTCGAGACGGTTACTCAAGATGTAACCACTACTGCTTTCCTTTGATCTGTCGTGTTACTCCGCGCACATTTATGCTGCGCATCTTTTGCACACCCAATTCATGCCGTTGCCTACAACAAGTGGACACATTTGGGGGTTATTGCGGCTCCGTACTCCCGACTGGACAGACATTATGAACCTGAATCGGTGTTCCTATGCGTCCGTTTGTAACATCCGAACCACTAGCTGTGATGCACACAGGTTAATCGGTGTGTTCTCTCGCAGATGTTTTGTGATGTGCCAAAACACTATCCGATATAATCACTTCAACTATTGTCACCGCGGTTTCATTTATTACTATGTGATTGTCATTCTATTTCATCCACGTGCAAGAGCGTTTAACCAGCCGTCGAAACCGAGCTGGTCAGACGCTTTGATTTCTCTTGTCTGCTATGCGATCAGTTTGACCTGGCTTTGGTATACACTACCGGACCTCATTTGCTCGCACAGCTTCTACCACAGGTTAATCCGAAGAGTTATAATCGGCTAGGTTACTTTGGTGCTCGAGTTAACTCCATTTGTGCCTACTTTCTACCGACAATTCACACGATTTATTGAGCTGGTCAGATAGCATACGTGAAACGCTTTCTTGAATCAGTGTTCTCCCCGCAAGCCAACATAGCCAGGGTTAACTGGACACACCAACCATTGTGTGGTTTGCTTCAAGAAGGCCATAGGAATCGACGGTTGCTGCCTTATCATCCACTCGCTGGCGCCTTTATGTAACCCACTAATTTACATACGTTGACTGTATGAGCATTGCACCACATCACTGACCCCCAGTTCTTTGGGGTAAACGTTTAGTCATCGGTTGTGGAGCACACACTTTTCGTCCTATTCCTTGCAGCTTTGTCACAATGATCTCATTCATTATGGTTGCTCTCCTCCAGCTGAGTTGATTGCCTAATCATGATACCTCCTTTTATTGTTGGCCTCATCTTGTGCAAAATGTTTTAGGTCATTGTTTGTAGCGCCCTTGGTATCTCATGTAGTAGTATCTACTGCCATTCAGGCTCACCACCGTCTTAGTCATGTTGCTTCTACTGTCATTGTGTCTCGCGCTTCCAATTCCCATCCTTCGCCCCTCCCCTCCACCCATTTTACAGCGACATTGTGGAGAAGACATCTATCAAACGAGATGACGTGATTGCCACCCTGTCACATTTGAATGTGGTCTACTACGTCAAAGGCCAACACGTGATATATCTATCCACTGAACTGATCGAGAGCCACCAACGCTCAATGAGTCGTCGCATCTTGCGAGTGGATCCCAAACTACTTCACTGGAAGATAAAAGACTGGAGCAAACGGGGACGCTGGTAGACCACTCCACGATCCCTTCAGATTCGTATAGCCCCCCCCCAATGTGTATATATACAGTATCAATCCACTTGTGTGCGTGTCTTCTTTGTCTACTGTTGACCATGCGGCCACTAGGTTCGGATGAGGTATATCCCCTCAGCTACACTTGTGAGGCTTTCCATCATTCTACGCGGTTTCACAACATTTCACTGGTGTAGTGTATGGTGGGTGGACGTTTGCTTTGTTCTTAGCCACACATAGCTGTTTCGGCTTCATCAACGGCTGTGTTTCAGTGCACAATGCACGCGTATTATTTAAGAGGTGTTGATGGGTGTTTTTGCTAGATTTTGCACCTGACGTGACAAGCGTAAACGATCTGTCGATGGGATCTACCTCATTCTGCGTGGTTCCTCCCTCACTGACAGCGATGTCGCTATGACGGGAACAGCGTCGTTAGGGATGTCCTCTACTCAAACCCCTAGTATGCTTCCTTTGGTTTCTTTTTATCGACGTCTGTCATCGAACGCACTTGTCTACACATGCCATTATGTCGCCTGATGGCTTATTAAAGTTGTCAAGGGACGCCCTGACAGCGTTGTTTTGTCGTAGGCCACAGAGTATAGGTTTCTGCTTTCTAGACCCGTTCACTACATCCAGCTGTTCGCCCCCTGTTTCCTGTATCACAGTATCTGCTGTCCTTTTACTTTAGCCGATGCCTCTGCTTATGTTACAGGAAATTTTCCCAGTCAGGCTTTTACATCCTTCTTTTTGTTCGTAAGCACGCGCCGAGCTCGAAGATATGCGCAGTTGCATGTTCTTCACCGGAAGTCTCTTGTGATTAGGCACGATTGCATTAGAATGGACATCACCTTTGAAGGCTTTCCTTTAACAATTGCTATCAACTGCTTGCTCGTGTATATTTTTACTTTATACTAATCGATTGTCAGATCGGATCGGATACCACAGACAACAACTTGTACATCATCACTCCGCTGCAACTGTCTGTTTCTTCATCTACCTATGGTGAGGCAATGCTTGTGCTTCTATCGGTTTTCCTGTTGCCATACATCGGTGCTATGAAGCGACCACATTTGCATGGATACGAACTTGTCCTCTTTTCTCACAGTCGGCAGTTGCTTCCTCCAGTTTAGTTTGCGCTTAGTGGAGATCGCTAGGCACTACTCCATGTATGAAATGTGAGAAGATTTCATACGCAACAGCTAAACTTGATCCATCTCGTCGCGCTGATACAGTTCTGGAGAATATTCCATCCATACGTGTACTCGTTGGAGCCAGTCATGCTTGGATTCTTTTGATTTCTTGTCTGTTTTTCTTCTGAGGTACAATGGATCGAGCTTGTTTTTACAGCTTTGCTTTCTGTCACCCACTCTACGAGAACAGTGAGACGTTCTTGGGGATATTTGTGATCTGGCCAGGAATCCACTAGGCGCAACAATTACCGGCCGTCTTCAGGATACTCTGTTGTCGTCAAAACAGGTGCTTGCAAGTGTCGTGTTGCTTGGTACTATGACAAGCAGCGATCTTTAGTATGTTCTTTCGGCATACACTCGGCTACGTCATATTTTCGTGAGGCGCTTTAGGCGTCAGAACTGAGTTACGGAAGTGCGTGCTAAGATAATGGTCTATTGTGCCATTCTCTAGCTGGTTAAAAAAGATCAAGTAACTCTAGTCGTTCAGTGGATTCAAGATATATGATTTTTTAAAATAAAAACCAGCTATCTTATTACTCACCAACGTGCATTGTTTGCGCGCCCGGGGGTGCTGTTTGAAGAGAAGCAGAGGAGGCCAAGCGATGACTTGGTGGAGAGAAATGAAAACCCTCACTTCGAACTTGGTGTCGGTTGGTGCATCCCGACTGCTGGGGTCCCATTGACGATGAACACGTGTGGTTAGACACACTTGTTGATATGGCGAAGAGCCGACCCCAATGGCATTTGTGTTATGAGTTTCTTTGTCCATCCTCCTCCGCATTTTACATTCCCCCTTCAATCACAATCTCATACAAAACGCATAATATGCTATTTAACATCATGTTGTTTGCTTGGAATCTTTTTGTATTGCGGCACACTAGCTGAGGTGTGTTTCTCACCCTCGGCTAACGTGTATTGACTGATTGACACCAACTGAATACGTGAAAGTCATTAACATAACCCTATTTTCTATGAAATTGTCCCACGTATATCCCGGTTGATGCGTTGAAGCTATGAATCATGATGGTAGCGAAACGACCTTGTAGCATCATCCACTTATCACCGGCTCAATAAAGGATTGTAAAACCATCGGGTAGCTAGCTGTGATCCTGAATGGGGAATCAGGGCCATAGACCACACGTGGTACGCGTGTTTGGGTTAGTGTACCAGTTTTTTGTGGTGGATTCACCTTCTCTTGTCTGATGCCAGATTTCATGCCAGCTCACTGCAGCGCGCTGCCTTCGTCAGGGTCAGAGATTATTCGCGCATTTGTTGATTGTTTACATCGGTCAGCTTGTTTCCTCAGTATCTGTCCAGAACCACGGTAAATGTGCAATGAAATTGACCGGAGAAGTGTTACTAATGCTCCCTGAATAAGCGTTCTTTTATCGGTTACATCAAAGTCCAAAAACAGTCTGGTGTATCACAAAGGAGGAGCCAGTGCAGCATAGTTGCTCTCTCATCTCCAACAAGCACTTTCATACAAACATCGGTTGCCTTTGGATGCCTTTCTTTGTTGAAAAATCCACGCGCTGTCAAACTTGCACCCGTTGATCAGTCTCTGCTATAGTAAAACTCAGTCCTTCAGTGAAAATGACACATTTGGGGAAAGTCAAGGAACAGAAAAAAACAGCTTGGCTCGTTTACACAGCTCTTTCATGCATTGTCCAACCAGTACCATAACTAACGACACATCTCCACCAATAGTGTTCCCTTTTTACTCCCGTTAACCAACAGTCGGCAACCGCCATCCAATCAGCGGAGTTTGGCGCGGCCATTAGCCGAGGCCGCTCGTTTCGCACCGGATCGGATGCCTCGGAGGTCTGCTCTATCCGATACACTACTTCCATGGCATCCCGTTTTTCTTGTGCGCTTCTCTTTCCGCCTGTTCATGCACACCGTACGTTTTAACACTGCTATTGGGACCCTATCACCGCTCGCTGTGGAATGTCTCGTGTCTAATTCACTTTTTCCTTTCAACTGCACTCGGTTTTTCTTTAATATTTTAATATCTTTCATATGATCTTTTCCCGACCCTTGCGGTCACCACACCTTTCTTCCATCGCTCCTGAGCATCGGGTATCGGTTGAACCCACACATCCTCTTTCAGTGTTAATTCAGGTAATACCCAAACTCTGCAGTCGTAGTACTGCATTTAATTTATTTTCTGTTGCTGTCAATGTCTTCGCAGTTGTTCATATTGTGGCTAACCAGGGCACAAAAGCGTAACAGATGTGGACCTGAAAGCTCTTACCCTTCTGCAGTATATGCGCTGCACTGCGTTTAGACCATTATCTGAGGATAGAGCATTGCGGTTCTCTCAAAGGCATCAGGTATGAGTCCACTCTAGAGACTCCAGCACTGGGTTTGATTTATTGTGGCTCCGACCTTTCCGTTTGACTGGCTGATTTGTCAGTGTGTGAACTCCCACTTGACTGCGAAAACCCGATAAACTGCAATGGCAAACTGTTGTTAATTGCCTGGGACCATTTCTTTCGGTATCCTTGGTTTATCACAGCTTCCGAAGTGGAGACGGTGTTGAGTTGCTCAGTTTCGAAATACTAACTAGTAACTAGCCGTGATCTTTCCAGTTTACACATAATACGTTCACCACCATTTCCTGACGGGCTCGGTCTGGCACATAATGTAACATCATTGGTTCTTTCGTTTCGCGAGCATCATGGGAGCGGTAAGATGCACAGTTTGGCCCATGATCCTATATTTGCTTCGCCATCCTTTGACAAAACACCAGCTATTTTGCTTTGCAAACACTGCTATTATAAGAAAACGCGGTCGCAAGGAGATCTCTTTTCGGTAACACACATGCAAATACGTTTACAAGGATAACTTGGATAAGCATAAGCTAATGAAAACTGAAACGAAAGTAGAAGAGTCTGCATTTATTTGGACGGAATTTAAATTGATCGCGTCGTGGTAAAACCTGTGTTATCGATGAAAACTGACCTTATTTGACCCCACTTGACACAGTTCGCTGACCACTTCACGAAGCAAATTGGGTCAGCCGAGATGTGATGCCACCTTCGGTTTCATCAATGTTCCTTTCGGCGGCTTAAGAAATTGCATTAGCATACTCTGCTTGCAATGCTCCGATTGCGTTAACTTGATCGCTATCGATTCCGCAATCTTAAGGAGGCGTCTCTTAATCCCATTAGGATATCGTTTTGACATGATGTAGAAAACATTGGAAGCATCATTGCTCAGTATTTCGTATCCGCTTTGAACCAGATGTTTATGGATAAAACTTTTGGTACTTCCGGCAGTGCCTTTTCGTAGAGATCCGGGACAGTGCTCAGCTATCCTTGTCAACAGACGCCTGGTCGTATATCCGAGGTGCAAGTAAATTGATTTGTCACATACGATACGGACTTGGCCGGTAATCTTTCTTTAAGGCGCTGAGTACTAGATAGAGTGGTCTCAGCAAGAGAGTATAAATTCGCGGCTGGATAGGTTCTTGTCACTGCAGCGAAAAGTCTTCTGTTCAGTAGATCGAAAGCGATGTCACCCTTAAACGGAACCTTGAGAAACACCCTCTTTTTTGGAACTGTGATGACAGCTATTATATTCTAGGTGAGCGTGATATTCGGATTAGAATACGATTTCCCTTGGATATAACGCTATCGTAGATTGTGAGTTCGACCTGGAAATCGAAATAAAGTGTCATTTCTTTTGGGAGCTGGTGCTTTATCTCCGTCCGTCTTTCCAGCTCCATGTCTTATAAAGCCATACACCTTGTGTCTGCTCCTGAATGTCGCTTCATTTTTTAGGGTTTCCTCTGTCACAGCCGGATGTTGCAACCAGTTCGCTGCCTTCATATCTTCCTGATCGTGCTCGGCAGCCGGCTGATGTATTCTTGTCAGAGCAACTACATTGAACACCTGTGTACTTGGCGTGCTCGTA